TTTTCTACAGCTAATTATGTTTTTAATTAATTTAATTTTTATTTATGTGAATTTAATTTTAATTTCTTTAATTATTTCCATTTACCTAACTATACTATTGTCTATAATTTCTATTTTTAATTATTTTTTCTACATTATTGAAAAGCCATAAAAAATATTTTGTTTTCATCACGCCACTCACTTTATTTGCAGAAAAATGGCGATCGCCCGCCGTCGCTGTGGCTTTGCTATTTGCGCAGCAGCTGGCGCATGTTTACATTGGGCGGTCTGTTAAAGCTCTGTGGTGATTTATGCGCCTTGATTGGCCCACTTGCCATACAGCAAATTGTGCAATATATCGAAAGCATGTACAGCACGACTTACGCGAGCTGGTTGCACTCTAATAACAACAACAACAGCGGCGCCAACAATCCAAATACCACTATCAATGACAGTCCATACACACCGGGGCGGGCATTGAGGTCGGGTGTGGGTAACCACAGCTATGATAGTAGTGAAATTGTTAGAAATAGATCAATTACGCCAGGGGGAATTCAAAATCTCTATAGTGACCACAGAAACAACACTAGTAATAGTAGTAGCAGCAGCAGATTTGGCAATTTCCATGACAGCAGTCGAATTAGACTGCAAGCGGCAGCAACAAATTGGATATCAAATGCCTTGGCGTCAGCGTTAACCACCACAAATACATATAGCACGAATGGCACTGGTGGTAATGGTAATGGCAACAACAATTACAATATGCATTACATCAACGGCCCGTCAGCAGAGGCCGCAATGATAACTGAGCCCAGCCGTGCGCTGAGTGTTGGCCTCAGCAGCATAATCAACACCAGTACCAGCACAGATGATAACAATCAAATGTTGAATGCCGGCATCGATTACAATGACGCTGAAGTGCAAATTTACTATCCGAATTGGCTAGATTTAGTGTCGAACGGTTGGGCTATCGCCTGGCTGGTGTTGTTGGCCGCTTTGGCGCAGGGCGCATTCTCACAAGCTTCGACACATGTACTCAACATGACAGGCATACGTATAAAGACGTCGCTGCAGGGTTTAATCTATCGCAAAACATTACTGCTCAATTCAAGTGTTGGACAATCAGCTGCCGGCAGCGGTGGTGTCGGTTATAATGAAGCATGTGCGGCGGGTGGTGGTATTGATGTCACGAAAGGAAAATATTTGAAAACGCATGCTAATGGAGCTGTTAATACTGCGGCTGCGGAGGAAGGTAGAGCAGGTGGTAAAGCTGATGTTGCTGCGGACAATGCGAAGAATGGTGCGACAAAGGCAGCGGATGCCAGCGGTAAGTTTTGGGAGGAGTGGGTTGAAGAAAGCGACCGTAATCAAATTGTCGAAAATATGAAATCTTCAAATTCTTGCAGTATTTTAGAATAAAACACTCGAGAAAGGTTGAGGGAAAAGAAAAAAGTATTTACAAACAAGAAAATCCTCACGAAGACATATTAATGTTTGTAAATATTCTTTAGGGATTTGAAAAACTGCTAGGCTTTTATTACTTAGCCAAGTTTTATACAAAAGAAAAAACTATTTTTGCTATGCCTTTGGTCCACTATTATAATAATCCGCTTCGATATTGAGGACACCGAAAAATACTTAGCCTCACCGCCTTATGACGCAACTATCGCAAGAGATACCACTACCTTGTATATTTTTGTAGACGGCTACCGCTTAAATTTCAGCCAAACGAGTTTCATTGTGATCACACGTCCGTAGACATACAGTCCTCAGACTGCCGACTAAACTGGTGGGAAATTACAGAGAGAGTTGTAACCGTCGACGAAAAATGGATCCAGTGATAGACACTAGAGATCAGGAAATAGTCGAAACAGTGGAATCTTTAGCCGACGAATCTGCTCCGTAGAAGGCAAAGATTGTCCTATCGAAGGGAAAGTGACGGTCTCTTTTCTGAGAACCAAAAGGCACGATCAAGATTGATTACTTCGAGAAGAGTGAAATGGTCACAGAGCTCTACTATGCCAAATTATTGGGCCGATTAGCAACCAACATTCGACTCTTCACTCTTACTGCGACCGCATGTTAAAATTGTGTCAGACAGTAAGCAACTTAAAAGATCGTGGGGGTCATATTCTTCGTGAAATAATGGCATGAGAAAGTAGTTGACACTGCTGGCGTTGGGTCAGGTTGCTCTGTTAAGCAATCAAGATAGTAAGACTTCTTCACTGTCTTTGGCAATACGTAAAATAAACTAGGGGAAGTTTCTGGCTCGTTTTGTGATTATCAACCAAACATAGATATCCTGGTATATATCACAGGAAAAGGAATAATTTAAAGAATGGACTTCGACCGGAGAACCCTCTCCGAAGAAGTCAAAAACTGCTCTATTGGCTGGAAATATGATCCACAGAGATATGGCTCTGTGTGAGTTTTTTGGAAGATATTTAAGTTAAAGAAGATAGATCTCCAAATTGCATTTTTCAGATCATTTAAAGAGTTAGGCTGAGTCAAGTGCTAATAGGAGACTATGTTGAGTAATAAATAATTATTTCTCTAAAATTTTCGATTTTCATTAGTAGACTTACGTCAGTCCGTATTCCTATTTATTTCATGGAATTTATTATTTGCATGGTTTTTGATGGGCTTAGGGACGCATGATATGAATATCTCTCAAGCCTTTTTCGATTTTACTATTTTAATTGGGACAGTGTGTAGAGCTAGAACGAGACTATGTAGAGAAATAAATTGGAATTTTTCCGAAATTTTCATATTTCGCTGTAGACACTTTAGAAACTGAAACAATTTATGATTCTCCGAGCTTTAGGGATATACAGAGAACATGATTCAAATTTTCGGAACAAAAATATCATGAACTTTGTGATTCGCTTAGTATTTGAGCTACATAGGGACTCTGATTCGCGATTTCGACACAAAAATATTTTGGGAACGTGATATAACCAAAAGTTTTAGATTCTCAGCACCCATAATCTTATAAAAAGTGTCAGTTAGGGTTCCCAAAACAGCAAAATCATCACTTAAGAAATTTCATTGCACCGTAGGCCTCAGTTTCTACATATCTACACAACATATTTTACCCACTCATACACTTCTAACTAATTGAAGTTAATAACTGTTGCCATTTAAGTGCATAAATTAATAAAATATGCATGACAATTGCTTATTTCAATTAGCTCTTAGTTAAAATATTAATTTTAAATGCATAAAAATGAAAATTCCTCCATTAGGCTTAAGCGATGTGGGCGCCATCACCAATCTGATGTCGGAGGATGCGCTGAATGTGATGTCATTCTTCTGGATAGCGCACTACGTCTGGGCCATACCACTCAAGGTTTGCATTTAAACACTCACTATATTTGTATGTATTAAGCATCACACATATGTATGTATAAGTGTATTTGTGTGAGTGTGCTAATGTTGACGCTCGTAAGTGCAGCTGCATTTTCTTTTCGGCAATGAATTAAACTTGAAATTGCAATTTAAAATTTATTTCATTTTATTGCTATGTAAATTGCTTTTTCTTAAACTTATCCTGATTTATTTGCATACATTCGAGAGCGTGCGTATGTATGTGTGCGCTTTCATGTGTTCGCCATTTAATTATACGCATACATAGACAGACAGTTCGACATGCATTTGTATTTGTTATCTGCGTAATTTGTTTATGCTGAAATGCTCGAGCAATTCCCTTGATTTTATTCAATTCGTCAGTTGAATTTTTTCCTCACAACAACTTTATTCACTGCATTGCTTTAGCAATACTTTGCATGCTTCGTTATTTCAATACTACATTACGCAAACACACTCTCATATACACATATAGCGCATAAATGCATACGCTCTCGCGTGTGCGTGCGTGTAAATATTTGACTCATTTCAATGCTGGAAATAATTTTCGTATAGTGAAAACGAAAATGGAAATTGTTGTGTTAAATATCTTAAATTCTGACATTGATAAACTATTTGTTGTAGCCATTGTGTGCTGGTTTTTTTTTTTTTTTTTTTTTTTTTTTTTTTTTTTTTTTTTTTTTTTTTTTTTTTTTTTTTTTTT